CGATTACTATAGATCTGGCTGGTTATTGCTATTTTCTGTGGATTGGGCAAAATAAAAGTGTCAATCATATTTCAATGCATAAAATCCATGAGGCCTTGCATAAAGAACTATAGATCTATCAGTGCTGTATAAAGGAAAACAAAGGAGCCTCATCACTCTTGCAATAACGATCACATGAATGTTATTACGATAGCCCTGATTTCACTATAGCTTATGATAATATTATTATATACATGTAGCTACAAAAGGCACATATTGAACACTCAAGTTCAGTATAATAATAATTTATAATATGAATGTCTATATAACTTAAGTTATGCCATGCATTTTTGTTGATGCTTCATACAAAACATTCAGTTATTATACTAATGACTCATATTGTATTCATAGATTACTGAATAGTCTCCAGGTACTGCTAGAGTGGGGCTCACTCAGGCTCTCCCCAATAACAAGTATTCATAAATCACTGTTACTTCTCACATGACATTGATAATGAACCATGAATATAATTCAATGATAGTTCAGTTACACATACACCCACTTTTCTTGGCCTCTGGATATACACTCATCCTTTATACTGCTACATGAAGTTAATCTGACCTGCTGCAGTACTGCAAAAACTTGTTCCTTTTCTAACTTGTGAAAGTTACTAACTTAGCTCATACTGTACTTTGCAATACACCCTATACTGTTTGCTGGTGAACATTATTAAGGACATTATTTGTAATAGTTTCAATTTTCAATAAAAGACTACTATTAGTCGTACCAAGATGACTTAAAACTATGTAAATAGTAGCTATAGTGTGCAACAAAGGAGCCTCACCATTGATAGCAATAATACTATTAACATTAGGTTACATATTGTATGTCATCAGTCACATGAATGTTATTATAACAGACCTGGACTTCCTCTAGCTTGTGGTTAGCCAGTCAAGTGAACGTTGTGCTCTTTTATAGAAAAGGTATTCTCTTTAAATTCCTTCTTTCTTTATTGTGGTGTAACTAATCACTGAAATAGCTACACCTAATTCTCTCATTGTCCTCCATACTATAGTACAAGATGGTTGATGTCTCTCAATGGAGAGCAAGTATTGGACTGTGGAACTACTGTCAAGCTGCCTCCAGTAGACCAGCTAATGGCCGCCACTCTCACTCATTCAAAGCTGCAGTAGACAGCAAGTCAGGCAGTACTACATCAGGAGAGAAGACATCTAAACTATTAGCAGCTCTGTCTCTTATTATTTTTCTTCTTTTATCTTTATTGAGATATATGAAGCTCAATTTTATTCCTCCAACTGGTAAACAAACTAACAGTATATAATATTATCATACAGTGTATTTACAATAGGTATAATTACTGTTACTGTTATGATCCACTGCCTCCAGTCACTAGTCTTGTTTATAGCTACTATTGGCAGTAGCTCTGACCTGATCTACTATTTGGTTTTACTTCTCCTCCTCCT